TTCATTATAAATAATATAAATGAATAAATATTCGCTAAGAATAAAATAAAAATAAATAAAAAAAAAAAAGTAATAATAGGGCAGGGATCGAACCCAGGTTGACAGCGTGATAGCTCAGAGCCTAAGTGCCCGAGCTACGCCGCCATCTCGACAATCGATCCAACAGGACCGGAATATAAGGGACGCCATAAACTTCAAATCGATTTTTCTCGAAAACGGCTGAGCGTTGCGCCCTATCCTTTTACTAAAGTACTCTTCTGATAGAGTACTATACCATATAAAAATTTCTTTGAAATCGGTGACCCGAAGTCCGCGCCCTCCCCTTATAAGATAAAGGTATTTCTTTGGTTACATAAGTCCTTATAACTATCTTAATATATATTGTTGCGTCCTCGCCGTTTTGATTTTCGTCGCCCGATATCGCGTTTGACAGCTGATAGAACCGCGATTGATATATTGATTTGCGGAGTTAATAAAAGAGGATAGTTGCTAAGAAATAGTAAATGTTTAACAGTTACTAGGATATTGTAAATAAACAAGTTGTTGCTAAGAGAATGTAAACAAGGAGACAGATGTCAGATTTTCGGGAGCTGCAGAAAAGTGCGGACGTGTTTCTGCTAGCTCAGCGGTGTACCATTAAAACGAGCTTGTTCTGTGTTTTACCCTTCAGTGGTTGAGTGAAATAAAGTTCTGTTGTGTTCACAAAAGTGTTCTTTCTTTTGTGCGTGCCGTTTGTGACGGAAAGACCGTTCGCGGACGCAACAATATATATATATATACAGGGTGATTCAAAATAACCGTATGTCCTTAAAGGGACATATTCCTGAGCGTATTCTGAGACAACTTTTCCTTTGGCAAAAGTTTGTGCGGAGCTTAATTTTTAAATTATAAAAGAAAATAGTTAGCGTATCGTGAGTTGAGTACAAGAAACAAGCAGGGGCGCCGCAACTTACCGCTACACACGGGTGTTTACGTGAGGCGCCTGCTACAATCAGCTGACACTCACGATACACAATTACTCGAAAAACACGTGTTTCTTTTTTCGAGTAATTTTCACGCATCAAGTGATTAGTAGTGATCACTAAATAAATTCCTCGTTTTATCGATGAAGTGAGTAAACAGAGTATGTGAATGTGTTGTGTTTTAAAACGTGAAACGTAAACCATAAGAAAGTGGAAAAACTTTTACTCGATATGGATTTGTTTCATCGCGGGAGAAAAAGAGAGAGAGAAAGAGAGAAAGAGAGATGCGTATACGTATTTGTGTATCGTGAGTGTCAGCTGATTGTAGCAGGCGCCTCACGTAAACACTCGCGTGTAACGGTGAGTTGCGACGCCCCTGCTTGTTTCTTGTACTCGACTCACGATACGCTAACTATTTTCTTTTATAACTTGAAAATTAAGCTCTGCACAAACTTTTGCCAAAGGAAAAGTTGTCACAGAATACGCTCAGGAATATGCCCCTTTAAGGACATACGGTTATTTTGAATCACCCTGTATATATTCCCTCACTTTTGAAAATTTTGTCAATGTTTTTTTCTAAATTAATCATAAAGAGTAAACTTTGTAGGCGCCATATTTGATCCGCCATATTGAATTTCTCAAAACGCCACTTTTCTTTTGAAAGCCTCTTAACAAACAAACATTTTGAGACCTAATACGTCTACATCGGTCAAATGAATTTTTGTGTAGGTAGGGTGATCGGTTTGACATGAAATGTCCCATATATATTGTAACAGGGCTCCTTTCTCTACGCCGCGGATCGGCTCGCCGGAGTCAGGGTTCGAGAGAAGGGGAAGTCCAGACTGATGTAACTCGAGCGGATATAATTCAGAAACTTTATTGTCCAATACTTAACTTATATTTATATATACATTGGTCGCGTGGTTGCGTGAATCGCGTTGCGAGAGGATAGGCGGAAACCTTTACAATTCGCGTGCGGGGTTACTAGCTTTTACGCGTCTGAATACCGGCAATACTCCGGTCGCGGAGAGGGAGCAACCGCTCTTCATCGGCGGAAGCAGCGAGAGTCGAACGCCGGGAGCACCCTGGTTTCGAAGAGAAAGCAACCTCTCTTCGTCGACGGAAGTGGTGGAAGGCCGAACACCGGGAGAACTCTGGCTTCGAAGAGAGAGCGGAAAGTTCGAAACGCCGGGAGCACTCTGGCTTCGAAGAGGAGCAAACCTCTCTTCGTCGACGGAAGTAGCGGAAGGCCGAACACCAGGAGCACCCTGGTTTCGAAGAGGGAGCAACCTCTCTTCGTCGGCGGGAATGGAGATGCGGTTGACTGCCTTGGGAGCTCTCTGAGGCAGTGCTTAGGCAGGATTTCGGATCGGGACAGGTGTCGTTATGCTGGTCGAGCCGGCTTATATACCCGGCTCGGGCTTTCCACTCGCGAGTATCGGTCGCGCAGTGGGAGCGGTCCCCACGCTGGGGCGTCGCATGGGCGCGAGCGCTCGTAGGTATCATAGGCGTCGGGCCTATGTTCGTGCGGTCGGGTACTTTAGGGACGGTGTGTGCAACGTATCGTCACATCACCCCCTCTCTTAAATATGGTCCCTACCTTTCGGTTATACGTTTCGCTTGAAGACGTTACTAACATCTACGAATTAAGCGCTACGGTTACTAACTTAGAAAAAGATTACCAGCCGGATCTCTCTCTTTGTCGGCGGGAATAGCGGAATCCCCTCTCTTAGGTCTACAGATCTTAATTCTAGGAAGGAAAAACTCTCGTTTTATTCTAATTTTATTTATTTTTAAGTTTATTATTTACAGACGAGCTTTAGCGCTCGGGGTCGTGCCCGCTCGCGGACCTCGGCAACTGGCGGATGGCCCGGGATTGGCCGTGGCGGTTGAACCGGATTATCTACCGGCCGGTTGCGGTGGTGAACCGGTACTTGCGGCCTACTAGGGCGGCGGTGAGCGGGACCTCGACGGTGGTGCCGTCGCCCAGCTGTACCGGCGTCATGGCTGGGTTGAGCCGGGTCTTTATCCTGGTGCCGGTAGAGTATCCAGGACGTCGGGGCCTGGCTGGACCAGGCGGCTGCCGGGGTTGCGGTGTGCGCGGCTTGACCTGATGATTCCGGCTCCCGGCTTCTGGCGGGGGCCGATCGGGTCCGATGGCTCGTGTCGGCCGGCAGTCGGGCCGGGGGTCGGCTGAGCGTGGCGGCGGCCACGGCTTCTGGGCCATCGCGGTGGTGGTGGCGAGGCGAGCATGATCACCTTCCGGCGGCTCTCCCGGTTGGATCGCTGCACCGAGGTCCCGGGTCGCGGCAGTCGGCAGGCCGGCCGGGGGTTGCTGTCCGTGGGCGGTGGTGCGGCGGTGGGTCCCGGTGGGTCGGTGTCCTTGGCGCTGTCCGAGGACAACTCGCCGAACAAATTTTTCACCGTTTGCTGTCGGTTGGCCATGATACTACTATTTTGGAACTTGTCACGAGCTCTAATTTATAGGCCCGCGTAGGTAGGGCCGTGGGGGTCGGTCGGGTCGCGGACTGCGGCGTATATGGGAAAACACCGGTGGAATGCGGTTAGAAAGGGGCGAAGTTTGTTTACGCGCGTACTTGGGCTGTTCGACATGCGCGTCGGTCGGCGGCGGGGGGAGGGGAGATTGTGTTGAGCGCGGTGACTCTGTTTATAATTCTATGGTCTGTCCTTCTCCCCTTTCTCTCTTTCTCCGGTCGGTTCCTCGGTATCGGTAGGCGCGAGTTTTAAATCTTGGACATGCACGTGGCGGTGCCACTTTCCTCTAGCGTCGCTTAAGTCGACGATGACGGGCGAAACAATTTTTCGGACTGTTAAGGGGTCGATAAACTTGGGCGCGAGTTTGGCCGCGAATGCCTCGCCCCGGTTGGACAAGGGACGGTCCCGTTTCCATACTTGATCGCCGATTTGAGGTCGCCAGTCGCGGCGCCGCAGATTGTAGTGCCGTTCCTGGCGTTGGAAGGCACGGGCTAAATGGATTCGGGCTAGTTCGAACGCCTCCTCCAGCCGCTGGCGGGTGCTTTCTGGAGTCCCTTGGTGTGTTGTCAGTCCGCGATCCTCTGAGCTGGGTCTAGCTAGCTCCCGCCCGTGGGCCAAGAAAGCTGGGGTGTATCCGGTTGCTTCGTGCCGGGCGGTATTGAGCGCAAATTGCAAGGCGTCAATATGCTCGTCCCAATTCCGGTGACGCTCCTTTACATACTGGGCGATCATTGTCTTAATGGTGCGATTCGCCCGTTCTACTGGGTTACAGTGGGAGGCGTATGCCGGCGAGTTTCGGTGTTCGATCCCGAATGCGGCGAGCAGTTGTCGGAATTGGCGCGAAGTAAATTGCGTGCCGTTGTCGGATATTAGCTGCTGGGGGCACCCGTGTTGGTAAATGACTCGCTTGGTGATCTCGCGGGGCCGGTTTGGGGCCGTGGCTTGCCGTAATGGCACTATCTCCACCCATTTACTAAATCAGTCCTATGTTGTCAGCAACCAGGTATACCCTCGGGTTGATCGGGGCAGTGGTCCCACTAACAAGGGGAGGATCAGGTGAGTCACCCTAAGATTTTGATCCTAATTTTTATGGTTATTCTGGAAGTGAAAAAAAAAGATACGTGTCCTGGCGTTTGATTGAATAGGCCTTAGTTTCGGAGTAATAAATTTGTGAAAATTGGCCATATCCGAAGCGCGCCGCGGCGCGCCATATGAGTCTTCCCGGTAACAATATTTCCAACCAGTGCGATTAGCTCCGTGAGTCAGGCGCTTGCTTCATAATTCATAAGACTCAAGTTCGCTCACGGAAGTAAGCAATAATTTTTTTTTTTTTTTTTTTTTTTTAATAAGTGTTTTTATTCATTTTTATTTATTTTGATGTAATAATATTTAAAATAATAAATAAGTAATAATAATATTATACAAATTATTTGTAATGGGTAACATATAAAGGCAACGTATCTGAATTTTTAAATTGTTTAAATTTAAAATTTAATTGGAAATAATATTGACAGTAATTTAAATTTCTAGCTTTTAAAATTAATAATTAATCGTAAGGGAAGAAGAATAAACAAACATCGGAATATGAATGTGAATATTTTTATCATAAGATTCAATTATTTATTGCGGATTTATTGCAAAATTCAATTATTTCGATGCGGAACAATCACTTGGATGATAAACATCATAAAAACATTTAAAGCATATAAATTTTTTACAGTTTGCACAATGAATAAATGAAGGAATACCACATACACATTTATTTTTTCGTAAGTCTGGGGGGAAACATATTTTGTTGACGTTTCCAAACACATTTCTTTGAGGAATTAATTTCGATGCAAACCAAGCGTACTTGATCATATCTGTAAAAACTGCCGCTGATAATTGTGAATGAATTAAAGAATGAATCTTTATTGCGTCTTCTCGCGAAAAGAGCTGCCGATTTTGTTGTAAAACTTCAACAGAATTTTGGATTCTTCGGACAAAGTTTTTTACTTGTCGAAAAAAGTATACATCGCATGGTTGGCAGTACGGCGTGCAATGAGGTGGAATAATTTCTACTGTTGAACTACAATTTCCGTCGTCGTCGGTAAAAACACTATTAAAGTGTGCTGGATCCGTTTGCCCTCCCCACGAGTCCAAGATGAGCAGGAATTCATTGTCGTTGCAATATGGTTTAATAATACTTACGACGAATTGGCTAAAGTGATCTTTTGTTAATTTACCTGATTTCGAGGCGGTGACGTGTACATTGCCATAGCATTTCGATAACTTGTCGATTGCAGCCGAAACATGAGGACCAAACATCCCTTTCGGCTCTTGCATGCACAGGAACACTTTTGGCAGCAGTTTTCCCGAGGCAGTTATCGCATACTGTGCCGTATAACTGTGGATGATTTTATTGAAATCTCCGAGAAAAACTTCAGTGCTTTTTTCGCTTTTGGTAGATAAAATTCTTCGCACATCGACTCGATATTCACAGCCGGTTTGGTCGGTGTTGATTACATAATCTCTGTCAAATTTAAAAATTTGCCTAGCTATGCGCTTTTGAAATTTCTTTGCTTCTTTTAATATATTTGGAATATCCAAAGCATTTTTTTATTTAATATATCGCGTGACTTTCCTTTGTTGAATTTTAAAGGTCTGTTTGAATCTAACTGCACACCCATGTGTGAGACGCTATAAAATTAAGGCTTTCAAATTGTACCGCTGCTTGGGAAGCCCATTGTTGCAGCATCCGCGTTGTCACTGGTTTTTTCTGTTCCCTGGCTTCACGAAAACGATCAATGGTCTATTTGTTAATAGCCTCGTACTTTTCTTTAACACCACCACCTTGCTCGATTTCTGCACGCCATCGTTTCAAATCACTTTTACGTTAAAGAGCGCTTTCTCCACGTTTATGAATTGTTTGTATACTCTATTTGGGATGTTCTCTTACCATATTCAGAATTTTTATCTTCGTTTCCAATGGTATGTAACCAACAATCATACGCTTCTTGCATTGAGGTTTATACTCTTTTTCGGATTCTGATTGTGAAGGAATGGACGTACTAGACGTGCTGGAATCCACTTTCTCCGGTGATGAATCAATCCGCGGGCTTTTTTCTTCTTCAAGTTCTTCCGAAATTTCTTCTTCTGGCAAAAAAAGGGCATGGTCGTCGTAAAAGTCAAAATCTTTAAGAACTTCGATAATGGCTTCAGTCATTTTTCCCCCAGAAGTTTTGCTTTTATACTTGTTATAACTTTACTTGGAGATCCTTCGACGATTTTTAAGAATTCTAACATTTCACAACAAACTTTTAAACCGTCTGTAATGTCTTGTTTAATATAAGACGCCATAAACGGAAAGTCCTCTTGTCTAATATCAGGGTCGATCGTCGCCCCACTTGTTGATGGTTGAAAAATAGTATTTTCATTTTCTGCCATTGTTACAATTTTTCACGTTTTCGATCGTCGAGAAATATCTGCACATGTAGCTGCGGCTGTTTGCAAGGGCAGACTGGCTAGGGCAGACGCCAATAGGTCTGCCCCCACCATCTAACTGTAACCGTTACTCTCTAAAAGTTTCAATTGTTCCCTTACCTAACGGTCGTCACAAACAGGGCCACACAATGACAAAACATGAAGGAACATTCGATTTTATAACCGACTACATACTTACAAGGAGATTAAAAACTTCTCCTTTATTTACTATTTTGTATCCGCTTCTTTTACTAATTTTAAATTTAAAGAATTTGAAAATTCAGATACGTTATCTTTATATATTACCCATTACAAATAATTTATATAATATTATTATTACTTATTTATTATTTCAAATATTATTACATCAAAATAAATAAAAATGAATAAAAACACTCATTAAAAAAAAAAAAAAAAATTGCTCACCTCCGTAAACGAACTTGGGTCTTATGAATTATGAAGCAAGCGCCTGACTCACGGAGCTAATCGCACTGATTGGAAATATTGTTACCGGGAAGACTCATATGGCGCGCCGCGGCGCGCTTCGGATATGGCCAATTTTCACAAAGGGCATAGCAGGATAAGCACGTGTGAGCTGCCCCCTGCCGGATCCGGTCGAGATTTTAACTATAAGTCACCATTGACATAAGTATTATTATCCCAAAAGCATATTTCCCAAATATGGTTTTTACGGGAGTTATGGAGGTGTAAAGAAAAAAAGAGAAAAATTTTTTTCTCGATAACGGCTTGACCAAATTTGGCGAAAAAAAAATATGTTATGCGCTTGAATGGGATAATATTTTGAAAAAATTAAGGGACAATTTTTGTCGAATAGAAATGGTTAAAAAATTGTTAAATTCTTTTCGAATTTTTTTTTAAGAGATGTAATCAAGACACTACTCCAATTAAAAAAAAACAAAACTTTGAATACTTAAGTATAATATAAAAAATTTTCAAAATAATTGAAAGGGTAGTACTTGTTAAAAAAATTAAAGTTCTTGACGGTGCGCACGCGGTGAGCTATCACATGTCGTGCTTGTTTATTATGAATATCCTCACCTCTCAGGAATCAATCTGCTTATTATCTGCTAGACCCCTTCAATCCTCGTCGCTGTCTTCTTCGATTATTGGAGAATAATTATGCTGCTGGAACATTTTGCTGAGAATTTCAGCTGGCTTTAATAGTTTGGACAAATATCTGCCATGAGCTAAATAATACACTACTGCCGCAATGTGTGAACAACAGCCAACAGTTCTTCGTCCGTTGGCACAATCACATGCATAGTGCAACACACCAGAAATACCGACACTATCGGGTTTATATTTTATGAAGCACCTGTATATTTTCCGAGAAATATGACGTGATCTAACTTCCAGTTTTAAAACATTCGTTTGATCCTTAACAAATTGCAGGTTTACCCTTCCATCTTTATCAACCATTTCAGCTAAATATGATACCGCCTGGGACAGTTGATAAGATCCAGTGA